GCCGGAGCCGCCGGCACGGCGCCAGCCTCCCGCCCAAGGAAAGTGGCGTTTGGTGCTGCAAATCCTGCACAAAAACCCCGCCGTTATTTCCCTTCCTGTAAGGGGCAGGAGGGTGGCACACACCGCGGTCCCTGAACCATAGATCAGGAAGGGGAAGCAATAGAAACCCTCAATATTGAGAGTATTTTTTTTTTTTTTTACTGTAAAAGAGGGGGTTTATCGTTAGGACACTTCTTTTATAGAAAAATCCAACTCAGTCGATGGTGAGGATAAACCATGCCCTGAAGAGGCAGCTCTAGCTGCTGATTAGAGCAGCAAATTAATTATATTTTTAAAAGCAGGACGTCAAACATTTCGGCCTACAAACACCATAACTAACTCAGCCCTCTATCCACTCTTGCAATCTAAAATGAAGTTATTATCTCAGCCCTCTGCCTTAACGGAGTGAGGCCCCATTGCCGCTCAGCTTCCTGCCCAAAAAGAGAACAAAAAATCTGGTTAAAAAGATGAAACTGGAGGGTTCCCTGGCCGGCACCTCGGGATGCTCGCCTCCGCTGAAACCCGGGGGTGGGGTGTTGGTTTTCCACGGCAGAGCAAAGCACCTGAGCATCTCCCAGTCCCCTGAGTTTGGTCGAGTCCAAAAACCTGGCACCAGGGGGTAAAAATACACATTTTTGTGATACTGTCTGTTTATTCTTTGATGCTCATTTTTCTTTGGAAAGTCTGGTACCTCGTATCACGTGCGGGAGAGCTGGCCGGGCCAGAGAGTCCTGGCTCCTTTCTTAAAAGAAAGAGAACAGCAAACTAAATCAAGGTATTTAAAGGCAATTAAGTTTGTCTTTTCCCTGTAGGATATGAGGTCAATAAAGCCTATTACGGGGAATTAAAGCTGTTAGATTTAGTGGCAATTTCCTTCTCCCGGAGAAATACAAACAAGCGCGGCCACGTTTTGGTTATAAAAACACCCCCCCGCGGGTTTACCCAGCAGTGGAGTACGGAGGTGCGTTGCCGTTCCCGTTATCGGCCAGGTAACAAAAATAGAAGCCGGCTCTTCAAAATAAGGCGCTCTCCAGAATTTGGTATTTGCTGTTATTTAAACTCCTTCTCCCCCATACATCTCACGCCCACCATGGCCAAGATTTACGAGTGGCGAGTCAGATAAGATTAAAACCCTCCGGGATGACGCTAGCCAAGAGGGGGGCGAAACTGCATTTATTTTGCGCCGCTGAGCATTTTCGCTTGTATCTTAATTTATTTCTCTGCTTCTGCTCAAGCCGTTTCTGTGCTCCTCAGCAGCTGACAAGCACACCGGCGCTGGGACAAGGCAGGGGACGCCTCCGAGGCCACCGCGGAGCAGCCGTCCTCCCATCGCGGAGGCGGATGTCGCCCAAAATCTCCCTCCCTGCGGTCCGGTTGCCAAAGCCCTTTCCCGGCTCCGGCCCCGGGGCCGTCCCGAAGGCGGAAACACCCCAGGCACCCAAAGCACGGGGGGGTCCGCGGGGATGCGACGTCCCTGCGGCCACCTTACCTGTGGCGTGGTCTCGTCGGTGGTGGCGGTGGCCACATTGGAGGCGAGGGAAGCCACCTGCACCGCCTGCTTGCGGGCTGCCAGGAGGATGCGGCAGTAGGTGAAGGAGATGGCGGCGGACGGGAGGAAGAAAGTCAGGCAGGAGGCCACCAAGGCGTAGGGCAAGCTGACCAGCAGCCGGCACTGGTCCTCGTCCCCCCGGGAGGTGACGTTTGGGGAGCGGACCTCGAACTCCAGCTCGTGCCAACCCATTTTGATGGGCAGGAAGGAGGCCAGCGCAGCCAAGGTCCAGGTGGCCAGGATGAGCCAGAGGGCTCTGCAGGAGGTCATCCGCAGCTTGTATTTGAGGGGGGAGATGATGAGCAGGTAGCGGTCCAAGCTGATGACGCAGAGGTTGAGGATGGAAGCGCTGCAGCACATGACGTCGAAGGAGTACCAGAGGGAGCAGAAGTCGCCCCGCAGCACCCAGCGGCCGTAGAGCTGGTTGAGCATGGCCGGGGGCATCACCACCAGCCCCACCATCAGGTCGGACATGAAGAGGGACACCAAGAAGTAGTTGGAGGTGTTGCGGAGGGAGCGCTGGGTGACGATGAGGAGGATGAGGAGGAAGTTCCCCGCCGTGGTCAGCAGGATGATGAAGCAGAGGAAAGCGGCCACCCAGCTGCTCCCCACCAGCAGCGAGCGCTCCCCCAGCACGCTGGCGTTGGGGGCCCCCAAATCGCCCTCCATGAGGAGCCGGGCGGCAGGGCTGGCTCCGGAGCTGCGGGGACCTTCTCCGGCCGTGACCTGTGCTAGGTGATCATCGCCGGAGCCCGCTCCGGGGGAAGCAGCACCAGCTCTCTCCCTCTGCTGTGTCCGTCCTTTCTCCTCTCCTCCTCTCCCTCTCTTCCCCCGCTCTCCCGTCACTGGCGATCGGGACAGAGCGGCATTCCCAGGAGCCGATCAGCAGTAGCAAGGTTCCCCTCCCCGTTACTCACAGCCAGGCATTGCCTTGTCCCTGCAAATCCCCCCACGCTGGGATGTCCCTGGACGCTGCTTCTGGATGCTCGGGATGCTCCGGACACCGGGGAGGCTTGGATGCTCTGGATGTCGGGATGCTGGAGATGCCAGGGATGCTCTGGATGGCAGGATGCTCTGGATGTGCTGGACCAGGGAATAATCTGGATCCCAGGATGCTCTGGATGCTTTAGATGCTGGGGGTGCTCTGGAGCCAGGATACTCTGGATGCTGGGGATGCTCTGGATCCCAGGATGTTTCAGATGCTGGGGATGCTCCAGATCCCAGGATGTTTCAGGCGCTGGAGATGCTCCGGATCCCAGGATGTTTCAGGCGCTGGAGATGCTCCGGATCCCAGGATGTTTCAGATGCCAGGGATGCTCTGGATCCCAGGATGTTTCAGGTGCTGGAGATGCTCCGGATCCCAGGATGTTTCAGGCGCTGGAGATGCTCCGGATCCCAGGATGTTTCAGATGCCAGGGATGCTCTGGATCCCAGGATGTTTCAGGTGCTGGAGATGCTCCGGATCCCAGGATGTTTCAGGCGCTGGAGATGCTCCGGATCCCAGGATGTTTCAGATGCCAGGGATGCTCCGGATCCCAGGATGTTTCAGGCGCTGGGGATGCTCTGGACCGCCGAGGCTCAGCTCCCACCCTCCAGCCGGGCCTGGCTCCCTGCAGAGCCCCGTCCCCCGGGGCAGCGGGGCCCCGCTGAGCAGCTCAGTGCCTGAGCTCTGCTGCTGCTGCAGCCAGAGACAGCAAGGAGAGGCAGAGCAGCCCTGAGGCGAGCGCGGGGACGCTCGCAGCCAAGCGCGGAGCTGGGAGGAGGAGGATGCAACACGCAGGAGCGTGGGAAGGTGTCTCTCCCCTGGCAGAGGTGCGCCCAGCATGCAGGGGTGCGTGCATGTGCGTGCAGGTGCCGGGCAGACTTTTACCTGCTGCTCTGTGATGCACAGAAAAGGATGCAGAAATGCCGCTTCGGAGGAGGTGGGGCTGGGGCGGGGGGGAGGAGATTAAATGAAATGCTAATGAAAACAGGGAGCTGGTCGAAACTCCACAAAGTGGCAGCCAGAGAGTTCCCTTTTCCGCCTTTAAAGAGACAGCCAGCACCGCGCTCTGCCTCCCCTCCGCCAGAGACCCCGCTGGCAGCACTAAGCGCGAGGCTCCGTCCTCCGCGCCAGTCGCTAAAAAGCAAAATTTTGCAAAGCCAAATAAAAAGCAACGAAACCTGCACGCAACAGCATGCAGTTGCCTGCTCCGAAAGCAGCCAGAGGCACGGAAAGGACTCGCTGGCCGATTTTCCAGCAACCTGCA